ATGACCCGTTGAGTTACAAACAGTCCCAATATCATAATAATCATTATGATCATCAGCACATATTCCAAACCAAACATGATTGTAACATAATTCAACCCTTCCTTCCATTTTGCTTGTTCCATTTGATAAGCGTATTTGACCAGTAGCACAATCAGAGTGTTCCACAGCAAAACCTGTGTATTTTAAATGTAATTATTATTATTATTAATATTGTATTTCTACCAGGACAAGCAACTGATACATCAGAGTATACAGTGCAGGATTCCTGTCCTTGTGTACTTGAGGGGCAATCCCATATACTCTCTTCATTACCAGTACAATTAAGATTAACAATGTGAAGGGGAATATTATCATCATGATGAAGTCCTCCCATTGAAATGGACCCTAGGGTATACTTAGCAATCAACATTATAACAAAAATTACAAGAACACATACCTAATGCAGTGTATCCTAAATGTTTACAGACAACTTGAGCATCATTGTCTGTAAAATGATGATAGCATATACTACCCCAAGAACCATCAACACAAACTTCAACACGTCCAACATCTTCAGAATAAGAATTATAAGGTATCAGTCTAACACTACCTTCAGTACAATCTAATCATAATGAATATCAAAATTAAAGAAACACAAACATTGGTCATACTGTGGCATCTAACTGCTGCAGTGTGTCTAGCATCACACCTAGATAGCTTAGTGTAATGTGTTAGACTGCATTGCTTAATACTAGTAGCAGATTGAGAGCAACTCATATCAGCTACCAGCAAAACATCTACACTAGGAGACTCAGCAAGATAAGTCATTCCATTACCTAGTATAATATAATTTAAAAATTGATTTGAACAATGTTGACTACAATTCAACTAACCATTATTGTAGCCAAGCTCTTTACAGATTATGGTAGCATCCACACCATAAGAATAGTAATTTTTCCTATAACAAAATGCACCCCAGACCCTATTAAGACATATTTGAGCTTTTCCTTCATTTTTAGTTGCTTCATCCACCAAGCGAACTGCATAATCAGTACAGTTATCATGTGTTATACCCACACCTAAAACTTTTTATTAAAATAATCCATATTATTTTATTAAAACTTAACCTTGACAAATAAGACCGGCATCTTGATTGCTGTAACAAGATCCAGTAGTTGAGTAGGAACAGTTAAACAGTGTACTTTCATTGCTACTACAATTCACACTGTAAAAATGAAAAGGTAACCAGGTCTCAGTAAAATATGAGGTTTTAGCTATAGCTCCTATAGCAGTGTAAATACAAGAAACAGATTGCAGTAATGTTACCATAAGGAGAGTATCCCAGCTGTCTACATACCACACTGGCATCGTTATTATCCCAACCACTGTCGCAAACAGTGCCCCAAGTTCCATTAATACATACTTCAACTCGACCAAATTCTTTATATCTATCATCACCTTCTAAACGAACAGCCCCTTCAATGCAAGGAGCTATAAAAGAAGAGGATAACAAACAGATAAACAATAAAGAATAACAACAAAAGAAGGTTATACTTACATTCACATTCAACTCCAGCATAGTATGAATAGCTACATGAATAAGTATAATAGCTACAATTCAGGAGAGTGGCTTCACTTCCAGTGCAGCTAAAATATGATGAATGTACAGGACCAAAACCTTTTCCAGCATTAATAGAATCAGCACCTAAAGATTAGTAAAATTATATAGCCAAACCTCTCATTGAGTAACTAACCAATAGAAGTAAATCCTAATTGTCTACATACAACTTGTGCCTCACGAGTATCCCACCCTCTTGGACATATTGATTTCCAAACTCCTCCATAGCATATCTCAACTAAACCAACATACTGGGACTGACCACCTGTTAGTCTAACATGACCAGTAGTGCAGTTGGTAGTAGCATTGAGTGCTGTTAAATATAAAATGGACCATCATAAGAATACTTGTTGCTGATACCTGTACATTGTACACTTGCATCTTCATAGTCAGTACAGCTGTGCTGCTGAACAAGATTATGAGGACAATCAAACACATTTTCTTCAGCTCCATTGCAGTTTAAGTCAATAATGTGAAATGATTTGAGCCCTTCCGTGTATAAGCTACTTCTTGCTTTAGCACCTGTTGTTAATGAAGTATGAATAAGTATATACATTTATAATTCATACAAGTGCAATAAGTATTTCCCTTGCCCAGAAAAACCAACTTGTCTACATACA